TTCACGTTCATTCACGAAGAAGTCATGACAAAAGCATTTACGATGAAATCTTGACAAAGTCTTGACAAAGCATTCACGATGAAATCTTGACAAAGTCTTGACAAAGCATTCACGAAGAAATCTTGACAAATCATAAACGATGAAATCATGACAAATCATAAACGATGAAATCATGACAAAAGCATTCACGAAGAAGTCATGACAAAGTCTTGACAAATCATAAACGATGAAATCTTGACAAAAGCATTTACGTTCATTCACGATGAAATCATGACAAATCATAAACGATGAAATCTTGACAAATCATAAACGATGAAATCTTGACAAAAGCATTTACGTTCATTCACGATGAAATCTTGACAAAAGCATTTACGTTCATTCACGAAGAAGTCATGACAAAAGCATTTACGTTCATTACGATGAAATCATGACAAAAGCATTCACGTTCATTACGATGAAATCATGACAAATCATAAACGATGAAATCTTGACAAAAGCATTTACGTTCATTCACGATGAAATCATGACAAATCATAAACGATGAAATCTTGACAAATCATAAACGATGAAATCTTGACAAAAGCATTTACGTTCATTCACGATGAAATCTTGACAAAAGCATTTACGTTCATTCACGATGAAATCTTGACAAAAGCATTTACGTTCATTACGATGAAATCATGACAAAAGCATTCACGTTCATTACGATGAAATCATGACAAATCATAAACGATGAAATCATGACAAAAGCATTCACGTTCATTCACGATGAAATCATGACAAAGTCTTGACAAAGCATTCACGATGAAATCTTGACAAATCATAAACGATGAAATCTTGACAAAGTCTTGACAAAGCATTCACGATGAAGAAGTCATGACAAAAGCATTCACGATGAAATCTTGACAAAGTCATGACAAAAGCATTTACGTTCATTACGATGAAATCATGACAAAAGCATTTACGTTCATTCACGATGAAATCTTGACAAAAGCATTTACGTTCATTCACGATGAAATCTTGACAAAAGCATTTACGTTCATTACGATGAAATCATGACAAAAGCATTCACGTTCATTACGATGAAATCATGACAAATCATAAACGATGAAATCATGACAAAAGCATTTACGTTCATTACGATGAAATCATGACAAAGTCTTGACAAAGCATTCACGATGAAATCTTGACAAATCATAAACGATGAAATCTTGACAAAGTCTTGACAAAGCATTCACGATGAAGAAGTCATGACAAAAGCATTCACGATGAAATCTTGACAAAGTCATGACAAAAGCATTTACGAAGAAGTCATGACAAAGTCTTGACAAAGCATTCACGATGAAATCATGACAAATCATTCACGATGAAATCATGACAAATCATTCACGATGAAATCATGACAAATCATTCACGATGAAATCATGACAAATCATTCACGATGAAATCTTGACAAATCATAAACGATGAAATCTTGACAAAAGCATTCACGATGAAATCATGACAAATCATAAACGATGAAATCATAAACTTTGCCATGGTCTCTGTCCCTAGTAGTTTTCATTAAGTTCTGGAAATAATGAAAGTCATGAACTTTGCCATGGTCTCTGTCCCTAGTAGTTTTCATTATCTCACAGAGTTAATGAAAGTCATACTTTCTATCAGATGAAGCATGCAGATGAACATAACGAAAGTTAGTGAGTTTGCCACGAGTTATGAATAAAATATTGGCATATTAGATGAGATAGCTGATGAAACAGATGAAGATAAATTAAATCTTGGACTTTGCCACACTCTGTCCCTAGTTCCTCAAAATCCTTGACAACGTTGCTTAGAAATTTTGGTTCAAAACCTCATCTGATTTTAATCTGTTATGCTACCTGTTAAGTTTCGCGAGATTATAAATGTCATGGAGTTATATAAAAAGGAGGGACAGCTAGGACACTGGAAGTACTTGTAAGGCTATCTGTTAAGATTGCATGAAATACTAAAAAGTCATGAAATCCATTATCGCTGTGCTAGCTTCACCTTAGAGTAAAATGACGACTAAAGTCACTGAAGCAATGAAACAAAAGTTTTTGGTAGAATACATTAAATCAGGAGCGGTTCCAGAAGGTTTTTACATTCATACTATGAAGGATGGTAGAGTTCAGTTTAGAAAGATAAAGCAACCATTAGATAGAGAAGGTATATTAAGGAAGATTAAACTTCATGAGGACAACATTGCTGAACTTAAGAAGAAGTTAGAAGAGTTGGAGAAAGGAAGAGAGTTATAAAGCAATGAATTCAAGTGGGTGAAAAAAACAGGTGAAAAAAGAGGTGAGATGTCACCGCTTCACCTAAATTTATTTTGTGCTATGTTTTCATACGTGTGAGGTGGTGATATCATTAATTTTAAGTTTATTTTTAAGTTTATTTTTATGTAAATGGCGAAAACTATTGAGATAACAAACTACAACGGTCATGAGTTCAAGAATTTGTTCTTCGTTCCTCGTGAAAATACATTCTATCAGATACGAGGGAGAAAGGGTAAAGTTAGTTTGAGCGTTATGAAGGAATGAAGAATGGAAAGTTTATACAAGCATACGATACAAACGGTAAGCGTGTTTCATTAGCTTTGTCAAAACTTACTAACATTTATTTTGACAGTGACTTTGACTCTGACGATTGGAGCGACAGCAGCGATACTGAAGAATATGAAGTATTGTGTGAAGCACAGCAATGGGAGGAGTTGCAATACTTTTGTAAGTGAGAACGTTTATTTTTACAGTAGTGAAGTCGTTTGTGAAAACATTAGTGAGGTGAAGTGGTTGGCGGCTTTATAAATATTTAAGGTTAAGTTGGTGTTTGTGTTTGTGTTGTAAAATATACGTTAACGGTTTTGTAAAGTGTCAAATTCACATATAATGGGTAAGGAGGCTCGCAGTGCCTCCGTACACGACTTAGCCATACTAACTTTCGCAGTATTAAAAAATCGTAAATCTTTCCAAAAAAATTTTGAATTACAAATTTTAAAACTTAAAACAACATTTTTTGAAGCGAAAAAACGAAATCTAATTTTTTTTTGGAAAATTTAGAATAAATAGAGCTCTTTAACTCGTCGAATACAAATTGTTTTCAAGTTTTTTTCGACCGGAAATTGAACTTTTAGAGTTTATACAATAAGATTCACATGAAAAAATACGGGTTTAACAAAGAAATCACCAATATAAAGGTTTTTTAGTAGAACGAGATTGATAAAAACTATGGTATGATAAAAAGACGATAATTTTTTTGGCGGGATAATTGAAGAATATGAATGATTCGAATTACAGACATACTCTTCGTGACTTATTTTTGACACAGAATAGCTGTAGACTAAGGCTTACTCTAGATCCAGACTTATTATACAATTAAATTTGCTTTTGGAATAAGACTTAATTTTAGTTACAAACTTATCTTAATATCAGACTTATATTTAGAATCAGACTTACTTTAGTCTAGAACTTACATTTAGAATCAGACTTCCATTTCAAGTCAGACTTACTTTCGTCCGAAACTTACATTTCAAGTCAGACTTACTTTCGTCCGAGACTTACATTTCAAGTCAGACTTACTTTCGTCCGAAACTTACATTTCAAGTCAGACTTACATTTCAAGTCAGACTTACATTTCAAGTCAGACTTACTTTCGTCCGAAACTTACATTTCAAGTCAGACTTACTTTCGTCCGAGACTTACATTTCAAGTCAGACTTACTTTCGTCCGAGATTTACATTTCAAGTCCAAGGAAAAGAGACTATTGATGACTTACTTTCCATCGATGGTGCACAACAGCAGGGAGGGGATTGGTGGGTTTGGGGAAATTCGCTGAGGCACTAGTGTCCGGATTGTTCGTCAAATAGGTTTCCTTTCCTATAAAGAAATGATACTTTTTTGGCGGCTTATTGACTCAGAAAAATTTGAGAGTTAACGAATAATTTTGGCGCCAAAAATAATTTCTCTTAATTTATTAAATTTAATATACGCACATCCATAAGTTATGCTATTTTTTCTATTTATTTTGTTCTAAAATTCTAAATATTTTTTTTTCATAACATAAAATATGATGTCGAGTAGGTGACAAAAGTGCATACTCTTAAATTAACCTTAAATGTTGAGAGTAGGTGCCAAAAGTGCTTACTCTTAAACAACCGTCGGATTTCCGGGTGAAATCGTGACACACTTTCGTCTTTCGTAGGCAGTGGTGGTTGTTACAAAAGGTAACTTCGAATGTAGCGTGAAATCTGCAAAAAAAATTCTGAAATTTGAATGGAGAACACAAAAATTGAATAGTTTACGTCAATAAAAAAGAGAAAAATGAAGCCAATGTGTCTCGAACCTAGGACTTAGAACAGCAATCCCACTGTTTATCCCATTACACTACATGCATCTTTCAACTAAGTGAATGAGATCAACTATATGATAACTTTTTCCCCATTATATTCTTGTGGAAAAGTGACAAATAGCAACTTTGACCCTCTCTCATATGATGTCTAGTCTCATTTACATAACAACATGCCTTAGAATAGGTTTTTTATTCTTTTTGTCACTTTAAATTAAGAATAAAAAGATAATTTAAATTGAATATTTGCGATTATTCTCACTAATGCTGCTTCCTCTTTTATTAGGTAGACAACAAAAAGTTAGCCTTGGACTCCCATATCAGATTTTTGATTGGTTGCGTATATAATGAGCTGAGATTGATAGACGAAAACCCAGTGAGAAAATTTTTGACGCCTGATTTTAAATATATTCAAATTTGGCAATCCAATAGATTTTTAAAAAATAGGTAAATAAAAATAGATTACATATGCAGCAGATTTAGAACATGAAACAAATCTTATAGTGACCCAAAAAAAAATTCATGATCCAAAAAAGAAAAAAATTGGCTAAATGAGAATCAAACCTTGGCATAATGAATCATTATGTAGGATGTTTCCACTACACCGTCAGTTCGAAAAATACCCTTGGTGGTTCTATTTAATAGCTACTCCCAACGATAGGCGGTGTCCCCAGCTTTAGAGGGGTGGTAAAAGTAAGGAAAATCTGGGTAATTAAGAAATTAGTGGTAACTTTTGGATTTTGATCATATTCATCTCTTTGGGTGAAATGTAATCCTAAAACATTACCAACGCCATCGCTTGAATAATGAGTAATTCTTGGTTCTGCATCAAAATTATCAGAATCTGTAATTATTTTAAGTTTATATTTACTAACGGCTGTTAAAATCAGAGAATTAATTTCAATACCATAATTCAAAATGTATTTGAATTTGAAGACTCTTTCCCAATCAATTGTTGTTGTAAATACAGAATAAAGATTATTAATGTTGCCTGGAAATGTGTATCCTGCGCCAACTTTTATAATTTGAATTTTAATTTCTTTTCCAGGTGTATCAGTGTATAATTTAATCAGTGGATATCTTGTGTTATCACCTTTAATAGTAAATGGAGATGTTGCAGTTAATTCTTCATCTAGAAATTTTTTATCACTTGTATCATAGAATTTATATTTGGCGCTAAAAGGAGAGTCTGCCGTTATAACTACACTTCCTGCAATGCAAACAAAGTTGTCTTGAGTAATTGTTTTCGTCATCAGTTCTGTTTGTACATACCTGGTTCCTGATTGAAATTCATTTACTAATATTATTGTGTTTTCTTGTGTGCAGCCATCAATTTGTCCAGTAACATCTACTGATATACTAAATGCACAGAGTAGAGAAGCGAACATGAAATAAAATAACAACGTTATTGTTGTATTTAAATTCAATTCGAAATTTATTTTGTTATATTAATTATACTAATCATTCTGATTGTTTTTATTTTTAGGCGCAAAATTCAGTGATCAGATATGAAATCCAGTTCTCAATTTGTTTCTCAAGAAGTTTTAGGTAATGCACTATACACAACGAGACAAATAAAAATAGAGAGTAAGACCAAAAAATTTTTATGTTGTGCATTCAGAAAATTGTGAACTAACGATTATCTCACAAAAAATAAAATATTATGGAATAGTAATGAGATGTTCTTTTAATATGGATTAATATTTATTTTATGGAAATTTATATTTTGATACAAGTTTGACTATATGTCATACCTTCGGCGCGACAATTGATGATAAACTTTTGTTGTCTACCAAGAAATTCGACTGTGAGAAATTCCATTTTTAATTTTAAACGAGCACTTGAGCCACGTTTTATCTGACTTCACCAGCCAAAAAGCCCCTGTACTAAGTGTCATGTTTTTGTTTATTTTAAAGTTTCTGCCATGTAATGGTTTACATTGCAATTTTTTTGAATACTTTACATCACCATAAAATGGCAGTACAAGGCTAGTTTATCCGAGACTTGAAATTTATTGTGGAGACAATACATTTAATAGTTCAATAGCTTATCCATAATTATTATCAAATCGATAAGCGTTATCCAGTTTTGGGACAAGAAAATATTTTCAGTTGAACAAATGCTTTTTCGTAATTATATTAAATAAAGCCTTCATATAGAGAGTATTGGTGTTCATTTATTCAACAAGAAATCACAATTTTTTATGAAATCGTAATTAATTTGCCCATAAAATCAAAATTTCGATAGCAGATCAATTTCAACTTGCAATGTGTTAATATATTTAGAATTTTATTAGCAAATTTCAATTATTTAATATGTTACAGACTTCATTTCTGAAGTTTCCGGGTGAGTTCTCAATTTTTTTGTTGTTTTACTGCTTTTTATCCATTCATCTAAAATGATTAAGAAAAGATCTCCTATTAACATATGTACAAATATTGGAAGTTCAAATGTATAAAGCAATGGAGGGCATCCTTTTTAATTTTTATCATCATTTGAAGTTCCAATAATAACGAGTTTCTTTCTTATCTCAACATTACTTCCATATGATTCCCTTCAAATTAGAGTATCCCCATTATTATTCTCTGTATCTGAATTTCCTGAAACAAATATTTTACAGCTTCAAGGTGATCTTCATGTATTGCTTCATAATGAGTTGTTTATCCTTTTTGTAAGAAATATAATAAATCGTTACCTTTGATTGCAAGTTAGAATCCAAGATTTTTGGTAATCAATAAAAATCTTCAATGAAATCGAAACAATCTTCAAGAGTTAAAAGCTTATCATTTCAATGAATTCAATGATATCATTATTTGAATTTCGCCCACATCAAATTAGTATGATAGTATATTTTTTGGTTTTTTGGGATTTGACTTTGCTTGATGGATTTTTGGGAAAAATATATGTGACTTTTTTTTTCAATTGATTGAATGAATTTACCTTGTGCCTATTAACTTTTAACTCTCTCAGGTCCTTCATTGTTATGGTAGATCACAATATATTTCAAAACTATTGCATTCTATTGGGAAATTGACCGAAACAAAAGTATTGGAAATGTTGCAAGATTATAGTTGTAATTTACTTAATAGAACTTTGATCAACAGAAGAATGATATTTTTCGATGTGATAGTATATAAATATAAGTTTGAAGATAATATTAAAAAGAAAATAATTTATTAAACTCTGATAATATGTCTGAAACCAGCATTCTTGCGTGAGTGTTGGTTTGTATATCCTAAATATTCTAATTCACTAACAGCAACTTGGAATCGTGATAAAGCCAAAGCTTTGTCTTCAATATTCGCTTTCGCTTGGAATGCACGCATCCATTCTGATGCTGAGACTGACTTCTCATACTCTTGAAGTATCTGATATGCGATGGCCGTATCTGATTTGTTTTCTGGATCCGAAAGTGCTTCGTTTAATGACTTTCTAGGGTTAAAAGTTGCAGAATTAGAAACAGGCATGTAATTAGGTGCAGACGGATCTAAATCAATAAACAACCTCTGCATAAAAGCAAAATATCTGTGAACACCTTCAGATATTTTATTAATTGTTGGAAAACTGGTAGATTTCAGGACAATAATGGAGGTCAATTTTATATATAATAAATAAACGTGTATACAACAATTTGGAAAGAATAGTTTCTGTCGACGAGTTGAATCCTTTGATGATTTCGAAAATCACTTGCAAATGGTGATCGAATACATTATGAAGCTATCAAATATTCAAAATATATCCGGATGCCGCCTTTATGTGGTTTTATTACAAATTTCGTATAGAATTTGCAAATATCCAAATGTTTTCTTTTCTCCGAACGAAAACAGTCAGAAATTTCTGGAAACATTTGTGTCCTTCTTCATGGTAAAGATACAAAAATCGGTAAGGAGTTCGTTTCAGAAGGATTTTCAAAATTATCACAAATCTTTTAACACGAAAGTGAAAATCTTATGAAGTGAATAAATACATGTGTATATACATGCTGTATATTGTTAATAAAATGTCAATTTTTTATAAACAAGAAATTCTTTACTAAGAAAATCATGAATTTTAACTTATGAACTAAAAAATACATAAGATATGCATTTCATCATGATGAATCACTTAGGGCTCTGGTTGAGTTGCTGAAGACTTCTTTCTAAAAACGAAGAGCCAAACAAGAACCGCAATAATAACAATTGCTGCAATAACACCAATAACAATGCCAGCGATAGCACCACCACCTAAACCTTTACTTTCTTCTTTAGGTGTTGGGGTAGGAATAGTTATTTTATGACATTCAGGATCATCCATTTTATTGAAACAAGGATCATCTTTAAATGCTTTATCTTTTTCTTTTGATGTAAAATCAACACATTCTTGATTGGTATAATGACCAGCATCAAAAGGTAATAACAAAAACAGTTCTTCATCAAACAATATTTCAACACCTTCCGAAGCAGTTGTTTCATTTTTATCAATAGTAATTAAGAAATTTGTGTTAACATTTTGATTTTGCGCATATAAATCACTTGGAGCAAAATTTAATCCCAAATAATTTCCTACACCATCGCTTGTAGTAGGAGTTATTACAGCATTGGCATCAGAATTATCAGAATCTGTACTTATTTGGAGCTTATATTTACTAAGGGCTGTTAAAAGTAATGCATTAACTTGTACTCCACCTCCAATTATATATTTGAAATTGAAAATTCTCTCAAAATGAGTAATTGTAGTAAATACAGAATAAACATTATATGTAGCACCTGGCAATGAATATGATTTTCCTACGTTTACAAATTGAATTTTAATTTCTTTTCCAAGAGTATCGGTATATAATTTAATGATTGGGTATTTTTGATTATCGCCTTTAATTGCAAATGGGGATGTAGCTGTCTTTACTTCATCTTCAAATTTACTTTCAATTGTATTATAGAATTTGTATTTGGCGTTAAAAGGGGAGTCTGCCGTTATAACTACGCTTCCTTCTATGCAAACAAAGTTTTCTTAAGTAATAGTTTTGGTTACTGGCTCTTTTTGGAAATAACTTACGGCTCCTTCATATTCAACTGCAAATGATATCTTGTTTTCTTCTGTGCAGCCATCGATTTGTCCAGTAATATCTACTGATATACTAAATGCAAAGAGCAATGCCGTGAACATAAAATAAAATAACAACGTTATCGTTGTATTTCAATTCAATTCGAAGTTTATTTTGTTAATTAATTATACTAATCATTCTGATATTTTTTTTAATAAATTCAATTCAATTATCAGATATGAAATTTGTTTTCTTGTGCGTTTTTACAGGCGCGTTGCCTGCTAAAAATATTCCAAAAATGTAGTTCCTGGAGTTATGATTATTTTTAATTTAAATACTACTTAATATTTGAATCAAAAATAATCATAGTTTATGGAATTAGTTTTTCAAGAATCTTAATGATTGCTCAATAAGACCAAGAAGAATTTTATCTGGCAAATGAATAGTTGTGATTAATGACCTTATCCTCTCAAAAATAAAAATAATTTGGAATTCTGGAAATATCACAACATTATTTTAATATAAATAATGAGAATTGCAAACATATCACCATAAACTATCATATATTTATGGAAAACCTTAAGTTATCGCAGATTATTGATGGGATTCATTTTATTTCTGATTTCAAAGGATAAAATACTCGTAAATATGAAGAAATACCATATATAACTGTTGTAATGACAGATGAATAGGAATAGATTAAGTTTTAGTAATTAGTACTTTTACATTATTTTTAATTGATTTTTTTTTCAAAATTGCATACCAGAATTCAAAAATTCCGTCATTTTTATTGTTTACCACCTTTTGTGGCTAACTTGAAATACATAATAAGAAAAATATTTTTACGAAATTAAATTTTCTGTGGCATAATTGAAAAAAGATATCTTGCAACATCTGAAAAACCTGCTATTGATGCTAATGTAAATGCAGTGTATCCTTCATTTGTCATTGCATTTAAATTGCATCCGATAGAGATTAGATATTTAACAACATCGATATGGCCATTATATGATGCATAAAGCAATGGAGTGAATCCTTCTTCATTTTGTTCCTCTGTTGAACTTCCAATAGAGATGAGATATTTAATTATCTCAAGATTACCTTCACGTGATGCTCCAAGAATTAGTGAATCGCCCTTAATATTCTTTGTAAGAGAATTTGCTTCAACAGATATTAGATATTTTACAACCTCTAGATGATTTTCACATGTTGCCTCATAAAGAGCTGTAATTCCATAAATGTTCACTCTGTCTTTATTTGCACCAATAGAAATAAGGTATTTTACAACTTCAAGATGGCCATTAGATGAAGCTAACATTAGTGGAGTAAATCCATTTGTGTTAGCAGCCTCTTTCTTTGCACCTAAACATATGAGATATTTAACAATATCAAGATGACCTCTGGATGAGGCAAACATGAGCGCAGTCCATCCATTCCTATCCATTGCTTCTATATTAGCACCAATAGAATTCAGATATTCAACAACATTGAAGTGGCCTTCCATTGCCGCCAGTGCAAAAGGAGTACATCCATCTTGAGATATTTTATCTCTATCACATCCAATAGAAATAAGATATTTTACAATATTCAGTTGTCCATTGGATGAAGCAATCATTAATGGAGTGTATCCTTCTTTATTTTCTGTCTCTTTATCAAAATCACATTCAATTAATGACTGAATGAGACTGAGATTTCCTTTTTTAGAGGCTAAATGGAGGATATTAACACAAAATTCTCTATCTTCAGATGCTCTTAATATTAATTTTTGATCAGCATCTTCTGAAAGTGTATCAAACATTTGGTAGAGACTTTCAATATCATTAGAATTCTTGAACTCTGCAACTTTTGTATGAAACTCTTTTAGAACAAAAAATCTCCTATTCTTGTTATTGGAGTGTCTTGACTTCAAAAACGAAGAACCGAAATATTGGATAAATATTTTGTAGTTATTTTCATTAATTAAATCCTGAATTTCATCAATAATCTCATCATTACATGAATCGAAATGGATGTGCTCAATTAATGGGACAAAGTTATCACTTTCTTTTGCAAGAGAAATAATAAATTTGGCTAATGAATCTTCATCTTTGATTGCAAGCTTGCTATTAGTTAATATCTTCTCAGAAATATCTAATCCAAGTTTTTTCGCAATCGGTATAAGTTGATTTGAATTAACTTCGTAGAAATGTAATGAAATAAAATCAATACATTCAATAATCTTTTCATGTGAGTTGGTATAGAAATAATCTTCAAGTAGTTGGATACAATTACTTGTATCAATTATCTTTTTGTCAACTATTTGAATTTACTTCATCAAAAGTGACAGCTCTCAATTTTTTGACATTTGTAAATTCTAAATTGAATGAGAAAAATGAAATAATACTAAGCATAATACAATATTCTAGATTTAATTATAATTAGGAAAAGTTAGTTTTGAGAGTACTTTTCATAGGCATATAGAATGAAATCTTCTGAAAAATAATATCACATAAACTCATATTATTTTCTAATATATAACTATTTTATATAAAAATCAAATTCAATGATCTTAAAAGCGAAGGATAAACCTCAAAATTTACGAATATAATGAGTGGGAATATAATGCTTATCTATCATAAAACCATATGAAATATCAATTTTTGCTTTACGCCTAATTTTTGACGACAATTAGCAAAAAATGTTAAATGTTAACACTCAGTCCATTTGAATATGAAAAATAAAATTGACTTTGATTAAATGTTTTTATTTATCATGCAATTCTTCTTGCGACCAAAGATTTGAATAAAAGTTCAAAAAATAAGATAGCTTAAAAAATAATATACGGTAGTGTTTACTAATAGATGAATAGTATATAAATTCTATTAAAATGGATTTGATCCAAAAAAATATAAAACCAAAAATAATTGTTATAATTTAAATGAAGAAGTAATTTAAAACGATTTTATTTATGATCAAATTTTATATATTTTTTTGGATCAAATCCATTTTAATAGAATTTATATACTATTCATCTATTAGTAAACACTACCGTATATTATTTTTTAAGCTATCTTATTTTTTGAACTTTTATTCAAATCTTTGGTCGCAAGAAGAATTGCATGATAAATAAAAACATTTAATCAAAGTCAATTTTATTTTTCATATTCAAATGGACTGAGTGTTAACATTTAACATTTTTTGCTAATTGTCGTCAAAAATTAGGCGTAAAGCAAAAATTGATATTTCATATGGTTTTATGATAGATAAGCATTATATTCCCACTCATTATATTCGTAAATTTTGAGGTTTATCCTTCGCTTTTAAGATCATTGAATTTGATTTTTATATAATATAGTTATATATTAGAAAATAATATGAGTTTATGTGATATTATTTTTCAGAAGATTTTGTGTTCTTCTTCAAAATTTTATTTTTTTATTAAAAAGAATCTTTACAAAATATATATTTACTTTAATTAATATTTAAAAACGTGCTCTATCAGAAGTTCCAAAAATTCAATATTTTAGCTTTTCTGAGGTGTCACTTTTGATGAATTTCTGTTTACAACAATTCAAATGAGATGTTGTCCAAAATTAAGGTAGTCACAAAATCTAAGTAGTGAGGCTCTCAAAAATTGAACCGTACTCCATACAAAATTTGTGTACCCTCACTACTTACCGTAGGTTGAATAGCCCGAGACCAATTTCAAAGGTCGTGTACCAATAAAAAATTTTGAATCAATTTACACAACGTGCCCATTTTACTCACTCAATATTTGAAAAAATAATTCAATTTTGAGAAGAATGGTCCTCTGCGTTTTGAGTGAGTGACGAAAAAAAATCTCAGAAAAATTGAATGAGTTTTTATGGCCATGAACCAAATTTGTGAAGTTCCCGTTTAAAAAAATGCAACCAAGAACACGAATTCCCGAGTTTGCAGAATTAGAAAACTATAAAAATCTTGGGCTATTGACCCAGATGCAACTCGATTTACTCTATCGAAGAGTAAATGGCGAGTCTTATCAACAAATACGGAATGTTTACTCAATTTCAAAGACGACAGTAGCACGCGCAATCATGCGCACTGCTACTTGTCGTTCATGGACAAAAGGTCAGTCAGGGGGTGGTATGACCCTTTTGTCACTACCAGATGAAATGCAGTTCAAAAAACTTGTTCAAGAGATGGCAGACGACTTGAACTGTATTACAACATCAATGGCCATTGCTGTCTGTACGGAATTACAAAATAGGAGATTAAAATTTGCGGCGCGGGTACTAATCGCTGCAAGATGCCCGCATCTTCTAGCGAAGCTCGATGATTACTGCCCATCGCCATCCCGTGGCTGGCTTAATCATATCGCCACAAGATTGTCAATTCGGATTGTGAGCTCCCAAACTATTGATATGCTCCGACGCTCTACCTGTGACGCAAACCATATTCGCCAATTTTTCCTCTCCAAGCATAGATACTTTGCCCGCAGGAAGAAGTTTATTGCGAATATGGACGAGACAATGCTCTATTCCAAACGTCGCTATAAAGTTCTTACTGCTGGCCGGAATCGCCCAGTTCGCGCTGAAAAGTCTCAGCTTCCACATCTTACAGGGGTCTGTACCATCTTTGCAGATGGTACAACTATGAAGCCAATGGTGATACTTCCACAAAAGAAGACCCTTGATGCGGAATTGGAAGATCTGGACGCCTTTTTTGTTCGCTCCGAGAGTGGATGGATGAACAAATACCTTTTTATGGTATACTGTATCATGTTCATCTGCAAAGTACAGGAGAAAAGGTCTCAAATGAATGTGTTTGATGCCCAGGTACCTTTTCTCCTAATTGTAGATGGTCATCCATCCAGGCTCTCTTTCTTGGCCGTTCGCCTCTTGAGCGCCTTCAATATCGAGCTTCTTGTTCTCCCAGGCCATACATCTCATATCTTACAACCTCTTGATGTTGGGATTTTTTCTCCCTTGAAGGCCCAATTCAAGAAGTTGTTTGATATGGCGACTATCCGGTACGATCAGCAAGGGCATATGGTGATCAATTATGTATGGAACGCCAGAGAACTGCGCTATATCATGGTTCGCAGCTTCCTTGATGCATGTAGTGTGTCTTGCACAGCTACAAACATCGAAAATGCTTTTAAAGCAACAGGAATCTATCCATTGGATATGAACAAACCTCTTGCTTCCAGATACATTGTAGCAAATGGAGTTCCTCCTGCAAGGCCCAATTTTGTCAACGACAAAGTCCTTACAGATCCAAATGTGATGATGCAAGTCTTCCAAATGGAATATGGACGCCCCATGCAGCAACAGGATTGGTATTTCAATCTGTTTGTGGCTATGCAATCTGTTTTGGCCTGGAATGGAGCATATGGCCAGGTTCTTAGTCGTGAGTTACATCTCCTTTATCCTACTGCAGGTGGATTTCAAAAAATCCAATTAAAATGATATAAAGCTGAGGAGCTCCAGGGTGAAGAGGAATTGATGAAGAAAAGAAGCAGCTGCATAATGGAGTGAGGAAGCATCTTGATGAAGAGAGGAAGCACCTTGATCAAGAGAGGAAGTACTTTGAAGAAGAGAGGAAGCACTTTGTTGAAGAGAGGAAGCACTTTGATTAGAGAGGAAGCTGCATGATGAAGAGAGGAAGCACTTGTTGAAGAGAGGAAGCACTTTTGAAGAGAGAGAAAGCTGCATGATGAAGAGAGGAAGCACTTGATCAAGAGAGGAAGCTGCATGATGAAGAGAGGAAGCACTTTGTTGAAGAGAGGAAGCACTTTGATGAAGAGAGGAAGCATTTGTTGAAGAGAGGAAGCACTTGATCAAGAGAGGAAGTACTTTGAAGAGAGAGGAAGCACTTTGATGAAGAGAGGAAGCTTTGAAGAAGAGAGGAAGCACTTTGAAGAGAGGAAGCATCTTGATGAAGAGAGGAAGCACCTTGATCAAGAGAGGAAGCATCTTTGATGAAGAGAGGAAGTACTTTGTTGAAGAGAGGAAGCATCTTGATCAAGAGAGGAAGCATTTGATGAAGAGAGGAAGCACTTGATCAAGAGAGGAAGCACTTTGTTGAAGAGAGGAAGCACTTTGTTGAAGAGAGGAAGCACTTGATCAAGAGAGGAAGCACTTTGAAGAGAGGAAGCTGCATGATGGAGTGAGGAAGCATCTTGATCAAGAGAGGAAGTACTTTGTTGAAGAGAGGAAGCATCTTGATCAAGAGAGGAAGCTGCATGATGAAGAGAGGAAGCACTTTGTTGAAGAGAGGAAGCACTTTGTTGAAGAGAGGAAGTACTTTGAAGAAGAGAGGAAGCACCTTGATGAAGAGAGGAAGTACTTTGAAGAAGAGAGGAAGCACCTTGATGAAGAGAGGAAGTACTTTGAAGAAGAGAGGAAGCACTTTGTTGAAGAGAGGAAGCATCTTGATGAAGAGAGGAAGCACCTTGATCAAGAGAGGAAGCATCTTGATGAAGAGAGGAAGTACTTTGTTGAAGAGAGGAAGCATCTTGATCAAGAGAGGAAGCACTTTGTTGAAGAGAGGAATCACTTTGTTGAAGAGAGGAAGCACTTTGTTGAAGAGAGGAAGCACTTTGATGAAGAGAGGAAGCACCTTGATCAAGAGAGGAAGCACTTTGAAGAAGAGAGGAAGCTGCATGATGGAGTGAGGAAGCATCTTGATCAAGAGAGGAAGTACTTTGTTGAAGAGAGGAAGCATCTTGATCAAGAGAGGAAGTACTTTGAAGAAGAGAGGAAGCACTTTGTTGAAGAGAGGAAGCACTTTGTTGAAGAGAGGAAGCACCTTGATCAAGAGAGGAAGCATCTTGATCAAGAGAGGAAGCACCTTGATCAAGAGAGGAAGTACTTTGAAGAAGAGAGGAAGCACTTTGTTGAAGAGAGGAAGCATCTTGATGAAGAGAGGAAGCATCTTGATCAAGAGAGGAAGCTGCATGATGAAGAGAGGAAGCATCTTGATGAAGAGAGGAAGCACCTTGATCAAGAGAGGAAGTACTTTGAAGAAGAGAGGAAGCACCTTGATCAAGAGAGGAAGCTGCATGATGAAGAGAGGAAGCATCTTGATGAAGAGAGGAAGCATCTTGATCAAGAGAGGAAGCTGCATGATGAAGAGAGGAAGCATCTTGATGAAGAGAGGAAGCACCTTGATCAAGAGAGGAAGTACTTTGAGAGAGGAAGCACTTGATCAAGAGAGGAAGTACTTTGAAGAAGAGAGGAAGCACTTGATGAAGAGAGGAAGCACTTGATAAGAGAGGAAGCTCATGATCAAGAGAGGAAGTACTTGATGAAGAGAGGAAGCACTTGATTGAAGAGAGGAAGCACTTTGAAGAAGAGAGGAAGCACTTTGATGAAGAGAGGAAGCATCTTGATGAAGAGAGGAAGCACCTTGATCAAGAGAGGAAGCATCTTGATCAAGAGAGGAAGCATCTTGATGAAGAGAGGAAGCTGATGAAGAGAGGAAGCATCTTGATCAAGAGGAAGCACTTTGAAGAAGAGAGGAAGCACTTGATCAAGAGAGGAAGTACTTTGAAAAGAGAGGAAGCACTTTGTTGAAGAGAGGAAGCATCTTGATGAAGAGAGGAAGCACTTGATGAAGAGAGGAAGCACTTTGAAGAAGAGAGGAAGCACTTTGATGAAGAGAGGAAGCATCTTGATGAAGAGAGGAAGCACTTGATGAAGAGAGGAAGCATCTTGAAAGAGAGGAAGCATCTTGATAAGAGAGGAAGCTGCATGATGAGAGGAAGCATCTTGATCAAGAGAGGAAGTACTTTGAAAAGAGAGGAAGCACTTGATGAAGAGAGGAAGTACTTTGAAGAAGAGAGGAAGCACTTGATTGAAGAGAGGAAGTACTTTGAAGAAGAGAGGAAGCACTTGATGAAGAGAGGAAGTACTTTGAAGAAGAGAGGAAGCACTTGATGAAGAGAGGAAGTACTTTGAAGAAGAGAGGAAGCACTTGATCAAGAGAGGAAGCACTTGATCAAGAGAGGAAGTACTTGTGAAGAGAGGAAGCATCTTGATCAAGAGAGGAAGCATGATGAAGAGAGGAAGCACTTTGTTGAAGAGAGGAAGCTCTTGATGAAGAGAGGAAGCACTTGAAGAAGAGAGGAAGCACTTGATGAAGAGAGGAAGTACTTTGAAGAAGAGAGGAAGCACCTTGATCAAGAGAGGAAGCACTTTGAAGAAGAGAGGAAGCTGATGATGAGAGGAGGAAGCATCTTGATCAAGAGAGGAAGTACTTTGTTGAAGAGAGGAAGCACTTGATCAAGAGAGGAAGCTCTTGATGAAGAGAGGAAGCACTTTGAAGAGAGGAAGCACTTTGTTGAAGAGAGGAAGTACTTTGAGAAGAGAGGAAGCACCTTGATGAAGAGAGGAAGTACTTTGAAGAAGAGAGGAAGCACTTGATGAAGAGAGGAAGTACTTTGAAGAAGAGAGGAAGCACTTTGATTGAAGAGAGGAAGCATCTTGATGAAGAGAGGAAGCACCTTGATCAAGAGAGGAAGCACTTGATGAAGAGAGGAAGTACTTTGTGAAGAGAGGAAGCATCTTGATCAAGAGAGGAAGCACTTTGTTGAAGAGAGGAAGCACTTTGATTGAAGAGAGGAAGCACTTGTTGAAGAGAGGAAGCACTTGATGAAGAGAGGAAGCACTTGATCAAGAGAGGAAGCACTTTGAAGAAGAGAGGAAGCTGCATGATGGAGAGGAAGCATCTTGATCAAGAGAGGAAGCACTTGTTGAAGAGAGGAAGCATCTTGATCAAGAGAGGAAGTACTTTGAAGAAGAGGAAGCACTTGATGAAGAGAGGAAGCACTTTGTGAAGAGAGGAAGCACTTGATCAAGAGAGGAAGCATCTTGATCAAGAGAGGAAGCACCTTGATCAAGAGAGGAAGTACTTGAAGAAGAGAGGAAGCACTTTGTTGAAGAGAGGAAGCATCTTGATGAAGAGAGGAAGCATCTTGATCAAGAGAGGAAGCATCTTGATGAAGAGAGGAAGCACTTGATGAAGAGAGGAAGCACCTTGATCAAGAGAGGAAGTACTTTGAAGAAGAGAGGAAGCACTTGATCAAGAGAGGAAGTACTTTGAAGAAGAGAGGAAGCACTTTGTTGAAGAGAGGAAGCACTTTGATTTAGAGAGGAAGCTGCATGATGTAGTGAGGAAGTACTTTGATGAAGATAGGAAGCACTTTGTTGGAGAGAGGAAGCACTTTGAAGAAGAGAGGAAGCACTTTGTTGAAGAGAGGAAGCATCTTGATGAAGAGAGGAAGCACCTTGATCAAGAGAGGAAGCATCTTGATCAAGAGAGGAAGCATCTTGATCAAGAGAGGAAGCTGCATGATGGAGTGAGGAAGCATCTTGATCAAGAGAGGAAGTACTTTGAAGAAGAGAGGAAGCACCTTGATCAAGAGAGGAAGTACTTTGAAGAAGAGAGGAAGCACTTTGTTGAAGAGAGGAAGCATCTTGATGAAGAGAGGAAGCACCTTGATCAAGAGAGGAAGCACTTTGATGAAGAGAGGAAGTACTTTGAAGAAGAGAGGAAGCACTTTGTTGAAGAGAGGAAGCATCTTGATGAAGAGAGGAAGCACCTTGATCAAGAGAGGAAGCATCTTGATCAAGAGAGGAAGCATCTTGATCAAGAGAGGAAGCTGCATGATGGAGTGAGGAAGCACCTTGATGAAGAGAGGAAGTACTTTGAAGAAGAGAGGAAGCACTTTGTTGAAGAGAGGAAGCATCTTGATGAAGAGAGGAAGCATCTTGATGAAGAGAGGAAGCACCTTGATCAAGAGAGGAAGTACTTTGATGAAGAGAGGAAGCATCTTGATGAAGAGAGGAAGTACTTTGTTGAAGAGAGGAAGCATCTTGATGAAGAGAGGAAGCACCTTGATCAAGAGAGGAAGCACTTTGAAGAAGAGAGGAAGCTGCATGATGGAGTGAGGAAGCATCTTGATCAAGAGAGGAAGTACTTTGTTGAAGAGAGGAAGCATCTTGATCAAGAGAGGAAGTACTTTGAAGAAGAGAGGAAGCACCTTGATCAAGAGAGGAAGTACTTTGAAGAAGAGAGGAAGCACTTTGTTGAAGAGAGGAAGCATCTTGATGAAGAGAGGAAGCATCTTGATCAAGAGAGGAAGCATCTTGATCAAGAGAGGAAGCTGCATGATGGAGTGAGGAAGCATCTTGATCAAGAGAGGAAGTACTTTGAAGAAGAGAGGAATCACTTTGTTGAAGAGAGGAAGCATCTTGATCAAGAGAGGAAGCATCTTGATCAAGAGAGGAAGCATCTTGATGAAGAGAGGAAGCATCTTGATCAAGAGAGGAAGCTGCATGATGGATGCATGATGGAGTGAGGAAGCATCTTGATGAAGAGAGGAAGCGTAAGAACCGATAACATTTACAAAATATTAAATTTATTTTGTAAATTTTCCAAAAGCCTTAGTACCAATGTAATATAAATGCTCCAAAAATACCATCCCTTCTTCCAAAAGCGTAAGAACCGATAACATTTACAAAATATTAAATTTATTTTGTAAATTTTCCAAAAGCCTAAGTACCAATGTAATATAAATGCTCCAAAAATACCATCCCTCCTTCCAAAAGCGTAAGAACCGATAACATTTACAAAATATTAAATTTATTTTGTAAATTTTCCAAAAGCCTTAGTACCAATGTAATATAAATGCTCCAAAAATACCATCCCTCCTTCCAAAAGCGTAAGAACTGATAACATTTACAAAATATTAAATTTATTTTGTAAATTTTCCAAAAGCCTTAGTACCAATATAATATAAATGCACTAAAAACCCAACTGCCAATAGCATGTATTCAAAAAATGCAATTCAATACAAATTTGATTGCATTTTTTGAGATGGAAGTGTATCTGAATTCACAATTGTAATCCACGAATACACTTCCATCTCATTGATAAGAGGCTAATGTTTTTCTCATTAATAAGGCGCTGTTGGCCTCTATCCATAGCCGAAGTGATATTAACGTATGTTAACGTACAAAGTAAAAACATGTTTTTTCTTTTTAAAATCATTTAGTAAGTAATAATATTTAGCACTCAAAAAAAAAAAAAAAAAAAAAAAAAAAAAAAAAGGGAAGTGGGGCTTCCAGGCACTTCGTGCCTTCTAGCCCTGAGGATGATTGATATAATGAAGTTTTTTTTTCTTGGGGTGGTCTTCCAGGGGCTGCGCCCCTTCTAGCCCACATAAATGAAGTTCTTATATACGGGTCTTCCAGGAGCTTTTCACAAAATATATATGTTTTCATGTTTTGTCAAGATTTCATCGTAAATGTTTTGTCAAGACTTCTTCGTAAATGTTTTGTCAAGACTTCTTCGTAAATGTTTTGTCATGATTTCATCGTAATGAGCGTAAATGACCCAAAAATATAATTTAGGTGAAGAGGTGAGATTTCACCTGTTTTTTCACCTCATTTTTCACCTCTTGAATTTTCATGAATTTCATCGTAAAGACTTTGTCAAGATTTCTTCGTAAAGACTTTGTCAAGATTTCTTCGTAAAGACTTTGTCAAAACTTCATCGTAATGAGCGTAAATCAGACAAAAATATATTTTAGGGTAGAAGGGTATATCTACCCGTTTTCTACCCTCTTTTCTACCCATATGTACTTACTGAAAAAGTATGTGTTCCATCTGTCATTTTACTCAGAATTTTACACCAAAATAATGTTTAGGTGAAGAGGTGAGATTTCACCTGTTTTTTCACCTCTTTTCTCACCCTCTTGAATTTTCATGAAATTTACACCAAAAATATACTACTAGGGTCATTTACGAAGAAATCTCAACAAAGTCTTTACGATGAAATCTTGACAAAGTCTTTACGAAGAAATCTCAACAAAGTCTTTACGAAGAAATCTCAACAAAACATAGACAAGAAAGTTCATGAGAAATTAGATGAAGAAGTCTTAACAAAGTCTTTACGAAGAAATTCATGAAAATTCAAGAGGTGAGAAATGAGGTGAAAAAAGAGGTGAAATCTCACCTCTTCACCTAAAATATATTTTTGGGTCATTTACGAAGAAATCTCAACAAAGTCTTTACGATGAAATCTTGACAAAACATAGACAAGAAAGTTCATGAGAAATTAGATGAAGAAGTCTTAACAAAGTCTTTACGAAGAAATTCATGAAAATTCATGAGGTGAAAAAAGAGGTGAAAAAAGAGGTGAAATCTCACCTCTTCACCTAAAATATATTTTTGGGTCATTTACACTCATTTACGAAGAAATCTCAACAAAGTCTTTACTGAAAAAGTGTCATATAAACATCTGTCAAAAGCCGCTTTTTAACTTCACTTAAAATGCCACGTAAGCTACGTAAGAATATACGTAAGAGGAAGAGAGCATTGAAACATCCAATAGTAAAACTGACACCACAACAACAGTTGCAACAACAAATGCTGAATGACCCCACTATGTTGCAACAAATGTCAAGCAATCCTATGCTTTTAAACCGAGTTGTTGGTGCACAGAGTGGAGGTTTAAGAGCGGCACTTTTAGCGAAAATGGCAGGCTATGGTGGAGCTGCAGACGGAACAGCATATAACCCTCAAAGTCAAATGAATTTGAGTTCACTCAAAAATCAAATAACAGATGTCAAAAAGTCAAACATAGACATACAGAAGCAAATAAGTGAAAACGAAAAGAAACTAGAATATGACAGACACACAAAGAAACTAAATGAGTTAAACGTAGAGAAAAAGAAGAAAGAAGAACAACTGAAAGAACTAAGTACAGAGGAATGCGAAAAAAGTGTCAGAAAAAGCAGCAGAAGTAGCAAAAATGGAACAAGATGTCATAAATTTGAAAAACCATACTACTCAATATAAAATACTGAAAGATGAAGAGATAAAACAAAAAGCCCTGAAGACATATATGGATAGCGATGAGTATAAAAAAGAAGTTGAAGCAAATGTAAAGGCAGAAAAACTTTTACAGTTGCAAAACCAAACCGTACAGTATGAAAACTTAGCACAAGAAAGTAAAAATAACGACGCGGCTATGCAAAAGGCAATGAAAAGCGCAGAATATATAAAAGCTAACAATGACTGGTTAGATGCCCAAGCCAACGCTAAAGCAGCCCAACTCATAGGGTCAATAAGGACAAAAATACAAGCGGATGAAGATAGTTCAAATGAAGCTTTAACAAATGCTGACTTTAAGAACGCCTTCGAAGCTCTTCATAGTAAGGTGAAACAAGTGAACGACTTCTCATCTGGAAAGAAACTGAAGTCTGAAGGTTTCGACAAAGAGTTAAAAGAAGTAGCACAAAATATGACGAAAATAACAGATGCAGCAACGAGACAGGCAGTTCAAAGTGCCTATGACGCCGTTAGAGCAACTGTTGTGAAAAGTCAAGAAAAAGAGTTACAACAGACCAAAACAGACCTAGTAAATGCTTTCTTAAGAACGAAAAGTCAGGTAGGACATTACGCTGCAGATGGAACATATGTGCCAGCTGGTGGAACTTATATACCACCAAACCCTCCAAGAGAAGCACCTGCACCAGGACTACCTAAAACATTTACATCGTCACATGGACACAGACACAGGCATGCACCAAAACCAGCACAACAACCACCTCCACAACCAGCACAACAACCAACAGTTCAAAACCCTGCACAACCAGCACAGCAACCAACAGTTCAAAACCCTGCACAACAACCACCTCCACAAACAGAGCAAGGACATAAAAGAAGTAGAGAACAAGGAAACCAAGAATTCTTAAAAATGCTTAAAGAAGACTATGGTTACCCAGATACTATTGACTTTAGTGACAGATATAAAGAAGCTATTCGAAAGTTCAAGGAAGGACATACTGACCCGAACCTATTTAGCTTTATGGCTCTGCACCAAAGGGGATATAATCTCAAACCTGGAAAATACAAGCTCGCTAAGGGATATGATTTAATAGCATATCATCCAAATGACATGAACGAATTTACTCCGAGATATTTGATGTCAGAGCTAAATGACAATTTAACTCTCTTCATGAAACGCGTAAAAAATAGAGACGGAACGAAAGAAGAAAGGTTTATGAGTCCGGATGACTTAGAAAGGGAACTTGTTGAAAACGGTCTCGAATATATGAAATGCCAGCAGATGAGGTACAAGAAACTCCACAGGAAGAAGTTCAGATACAACCAGACATGGAAGAAATAGTTCAGCAACAACAGCTAGAAGAGCCTGAAGGAAACGAACAAGTCACTCCTTTGGAAACTAACTTCACAGAACTAGATGAAGATTTGGAACAGCCGAAAAATCTTGACCCTCAACAAGAGTATGCGGAGAATATGGAATATTTCCAAGAGTCTAAAAAAAATTCAGCTGACATAGTAGAAGAATATCGAAAAATGTTTGCCGACATACAAAAGACTCCAACATCAGATGAAAATATCCAGCATAGAATGAAGAACTGAAAAAAAATGTACACAAATACAACAACCCTTTTTACTTACGAGCATTTAACGTTCAATCTTCGAATGAACTCGGTGAAGATAAAAGGTTAAATTTCAAGAAAACATATAGAAATGAAACATTGTTTAAAGTTCATTCAGAACCTAGCCAAGATGGAAACAAACCTACTTTTGTTTCTGCAGACGATGGAACTACAATGAGATGGGGTCATAAAGCTAATCCAGATAGGTGGTTCATAAACTTACAACCTCAATTCCAAGAAGTTGTAGACGCAATGGAAGTGAATGGTGAACCAGATGTAGCTGGTATTTTCAGCGCGGCTTTAATGCCATTGAAAGATATGAAACATGCAGATATTTTGGACCAGTATGAAATGAACATGGCTGATGGAAATATAACACCTGACGTTCTAGAACATTTATCTCAAAGAACTACACAGAACCATAGAGATGGTATATTTGGTGAAGAGTTTAGAAAGAAAGTTAGGGAGAGCGAAGGAAGAGAGCCTATTGTACATGACCTTGCAAACGAAAGTTTACAAAATGTCATAAAAAACTTACTTTGCAGACAATGAACTGAGAAGGGATGAATATTTAAGAAAACTCAAATGGACAGTACCAGATGAAATGTTAGTATTGAAAAACATGTTCCTTGACAAAATAAAACCAACTACAGAAATAAACGACGCAAGACTGAAAGATTGGGTAAAAGCTTTCCCATTCACAAAAGATATTGTTGGTAACATGGAAAGAAAACCAGAATGGCTACAAAAACATATATTTGGAAACGAGCTTATTCCATATGGACAAGCTCTGTTTGAAGAGCTTGAACCGGAAACTCAGGAAAGAGTCATGCAAACAATAAGCGACGACTCAAATACAAACTATG